GCTGCAGGCAAAGCCATGCTGCAATGACATGCTACATGGCAATGCACACTTGTTTTTACATAGTAAAAACCCATGTCTGTTTCTAACTGCTATTTATTTATCCCAACATTTCAACCATTTTCTGCTAATTCTCCAAAAGTCTTAATTTGTTTTTTCCACCTTCAGGTTTGAATGAGATGATTAAGTTTGTCAAGCTGGCCCCCATCGATCAGGAGGTCTCCAAGAAAGCCAAGAAACGGCAGGAAGGAGGAGGGAAGAAGAAGAAGGAGGGAGGAGGAGGAGGAGAGCCCAACCTGCCCAACGACATGGAGAACATGTCCGTCAACGACTCATAGACTAAAACACATCAGCTGCTTTTCCTCATTTTCCTCACAGGTAACCTGAAGGAGCAGAGCCTCACGTCTAATTGTGGTGATCAGGGAGGGCTTAATAATAAAAATAGAAGAAAAAAAAACATTTAAATGTTGTTTAAGGTAATCTTAGGCTTGGTTCTGTCTCATCTGTTCTCCTGGGTGAAAGAGTTGGTCCATGCACATAAACCCCTCCCCTTTCTCCACTTCCTGTCTGTCATCCACACAGCAAAAAAGCCTCAAACCAACAGTTTAAAACCCATCTGTTGACTCAGTTCTTCAGCATCAAAACTTTCATCTGCTCGTGACTTCCTGTCTGAAAGTAGCTGTGAAACTATTGTTGACGAATGATCAGGAGTTTGTCTTCACCTTTGACCGAACGGACGTCGTCTGCATGGACAAATGTAAAACAATGAAGCTGCACTTACTGTAAACAATAAATATAAACATCTACAGAATCTTCTTGTGTTTTAAATTCATCTGTTTGTTTAGAAACAAGTGTTAAGCATTCAGAAGGAATGTATACCAGGGCTATTCCAAAGTTCGGCCCGCCAAATCGTTCCTTTGTCTCTTAAACCCAAATCTCTGGTTTTCTTCTTTAATTATAAGTTCTTTTAGTTAGACATATATGTGGTCTCTATAGAAATGTCTGAATCTTGGCTAGAAGAAAAATGGTACCGGTTCCAAAAT